TAGGTAGTAGCTAGTAGGTAGTAGGTAGTAGGTAGTAGTAGTAGTAGTAGTAGTAGTAGTAGTAGTAGTGGAATAACAATAGGACTGAGGCCATAGTGCACTGTACCATGCAATAGCTAACCTAATACCTAGTACCTGGTATCTTCTATCCACTGCTACAGACATGCAAGTTATTTAAGAATCCTTTTTGTTTAATTCACATCCATGACTGTCGATTCTCGGAATAACTTTGCGTTTATTGATGTATCTAGGTCAAATGCCAAAACTGCGGTGACATAAATCAAAATGGTATTCTCTGATATTTCCGCTACTGGAAACCATATTAATTAAATGCGCTCTACTTCCCATTGAAACCAAAATAATATCATTCAGTACTGTTGCAGCCTTGCTATTAAGAAACTTATGAAACAGAGTTAGCAACACATAAATCAACAAGAACTCCACTAAGTATTGTCTGATATCTCTGCTGCTGGAATTCATATTAACTGCACTCTACTACCCATTGAAACCAAAATTATGTCATTAAGGACTGCTTTAGCTTCGACATTAAGAAGCCCATGCAACAGAGACTGCTTAGTATTCACGCTTGGCAACGGGCGGCCGTCAAATAGAACATAAAGGTTCAACCCACTTAGCATCCCAAATAAGGGGCTTTACATGCTAGATCCTCCCAGCAGCCTGGGTTCAGTAGTGGAGTAGATAAGATTTGACCTGTGTGGGTATTACAATCCCTGTATCATTCCCAAGGTTAACCTTTGGTCAGTCGGGCTTCATGCACTGCTTGAATTGTCGTTTAAGGGTTTCAGGCTTGGGTTTGCCTTGCGGATTAGAGATTCTAGAGTTTCGACGGTTTGTAGGGTATTGTAGGTTTCGATAGAGTTTTGAGGGTTGAGGGTTTTGAAGTCGTAGGCATGGGTTTTGCACCCACGAACCAGCTGTCTTAAGGATAGCAGGATCATAACCTTCGATTTTGCGTGATGTGGCTACAGGTGATTAACGGTGTTTGCCACAGGTTTATTATTTGGTTTATGCGTTTTGTTCCGGAGGCTCTTAGCGGGCTTAGGGTTTATAGGTTTTGGGGTACAGCATTCGGGCATGTCCTCTTCTTTTTGGGGCTCAATAGTGGCATTTGTTGGATCTGTTACTGATTTATGAGGGCTAGTTGTGGATAGAGCAGGTGGCCAGGTATGGTTCTCGATCAACGCAGCGGCTATGTATTGCGAGGATGCGCCCCGCTATATTCTGGAAGGGAACCAGGGCGGTTGCAGCTCGACGTCGTGGACGATCCTCCAATATTTGTGATGCACAAATTCAGACGGAGCCGGTCCCTCTTTCTCTTAGGCTGCTTGGGTCGGCTGTGGATGGGACTCTCCACCCATGGAACTGGATAGCCTGTCAATGGCGGCATCAGTGCATGCCTCTGACTCTGAGGGTATGCTCTCTTTACCGGAGCCATGTACATGACAGTGGCGAGATGGAAGGTCGTGGCCAATTGTGCTGACTTGTTCCTGAGAATCAAGAGTGTGCAGTTATTCTGCGGCTCGGGGGGTTTGGTCAGTAGCTTTCTTTTATTTTTCAATAGACCTCCATGACATACGCCCGTACAAAACCTACAAACAACCTTCTAGAAACCCCTACACAAACAATTGAGTTTTTACCCTAAACCCTAAGCCCGACTCCTCAGACCCCAAACCCTATGGGGTTGTCCGACCTATCTGCACAGAGCAAAAAAAGGTTTCAACAAATCAAGCAAAGTCAAACCCCAAACCGTCCAATTTAAAGCCTTACCCCGCAGTGTCCAAGTGCCTGGTAGTTTCTCTTTCTCCCAGAAGCTAACCTACAAAACGTTTCGGGGTGTCCTGAAGCCGGTAGGACATCTTTACAAACCGGCATACACCCCTAATAAGAAGTGGGCACGCGAGGACCTGGCGCGCTTCACCAGCGAGGGAAGTAGTGCCCCAAGAACTCAGGGCGCTCCCCCAGCTTCCCCACATTTGATTTCAAGGGTTGTTCCTCAGGATTTTATGCTAGCTATTTAGTGCAGCGCGCGGGCTTTCCTAAATTGTTGTTTAAGAATTTGTTTTAGGCACTTCATAAGGTTTTCGTAGGATTTGAAATATGGTTTTGCTATGGCTTATATTGGGGCTCCATAGGGGTTTCAGAATCCGCTTGTATGGGCTTAGCGGTTTGCGACCGTCATTGAGCTGTTTTCCCGTCGGATTTGGCGAGGACAGTTTAATATAGGGGGCTAAATATCTACCAATATGAGTAATATGAGGTGATGTGATTCCTCCATTAATCGCAGGGGGTAACCTTTAGTTCTCCTTCTTATAATTTTAGTTGAATATACCCCAAGACCTTGTTCTAATTGTGAAATCCCCGATGCTGCGCCCATAGAATATCCCGTGAAGTAACCCTAATAAGGAACCCCTTACAGGAACCCTACGCCCGTAAATTAGGAGTGTATATAAGGCTTACAGGAGCTTTCAGGCTACTGAAGCCGAAGACTTCGACTCCCGACCTCCAAAATGCCAGTCCCTAATCCCTGCGACAGCTGCCTGCAAGTTTGAAGTTCGGTGTCCTCATGCCTTCGCAGCAAACTCTAGGAAACAACCCGTTTATAGCAAACCTAAACCCTCAACTCTAACCCCAAAACCGGAGACCCTAAACCCGAAACCCCCCAACGGCTGGTGCCTGTTGGCTCCTTTGGAAACCGCCCTCAGGCTCCTAGGAATTGATGTCTAAATAGGGTTACTCAGGGTCTCCCAAAACGACATGGTTGAGGGTTTAGGGTTTAGTGATAAGCATAAGAATGATATCCATACCTTATTGGGCTTCAGTATAAGGGGATGCATATGGGATATCGCTATCCCAAATTTTGCCTGTCTGCTTTTGGGGGGCCTTAGTTACACTCAGGGTAACTGTAGTTCTATGTCTACGTATGCTTACAGCCCAACAAAGGTGCGTAGCAACCTTCTTAGCTACCCCTCTCAACCCCTCCTCCCAGAGCAAGACTTGCTTTCCCCTCCCTAAACCCTAAACCCTAAACCCTAAACCCTAAACCCTAAACCCTAAACCCTAAACCCTAAACCCTAAACTCTCTGCATATTAACTCCGCACCGCTCCGAGACTCCAGAGAGCCCAGTAGCCCTTAATTCAGAGATATACCTAAAGCCATAAGATTAAGGTTTAGGGTTTAGGGTTTAGGGTTTAGGGTTTAGGGTTTAGGGTTTAGGGTTTAGGGTTTAGGGTTCAGGGTTTAGGGTTTAGGGGTTTAGGGTTTAGTACGGCCCCTATCCAAGGAACATGGCTGATTAACGGGTATTACTAAACCCTAAAACTCTAAACCCTTGGCCCCTGAAGCCAAAGCCAGCAAACCTAAACCAGAAAGCTGTAACAAGCCAGAACGCTCTCTGGGAACTTGCCAACCAACTGTTGAGTAATATAGAAGCCGAAATAGCTGCTTATATTACCGTTAGGGTTCCTTATTTTAAATGTACTATAAAGGACCCCCCCCAACCCTATTCTAATAATAAAAGTCCCTACATTAGGTGCAAAGCTCGGCGCGCTGGATGCAGATCTCCGAGATTTCCTGGGAGAGCAGCAGGCGGTTTTGGGATTAAACTCGAGGTTAGCGTTTAGGGTTTAGGGTCTAGAGTTTAGGGTTTGGGGTTTATAGGGTTTAGGGACAGTTTGGGTTTTGGGTTTGTGATGGGTGCGAAGAATCGAAAGTCGTTGGCTTTCCGGCTTAACTTTCTATCGAGTTGAGCTTTTCCTTAGGAAGACCCTAAACCCTAAACCCTAAACCCTGAACCCCTGACTGTTGGGGGTTTAGGTGTAGAGTTTCGTGGTTTGAGGGTTAGTGCTTTGTGCCGAGAACTCGCGCACCTAAGGGTTTGAGGGTTTGCGGCTTGAGGAGATGAGGGTTCAGGGTTTCGAGTTTTAGAGTTTAGGGTTTAGGGGGTTTAGGGTTTAGGGTTTAGGGGTTTAGGGTTTAGGGTTTAGGGTTTAGGGTTGAGGGTTTAGGGGATTCGAGTTCTTCTGTGAGTGCTCAATGTCTAGCTTTCCACATTGTTGCAAGACGCTTCAGCACTGATACCTAAAACTCTATGACAGCCCCTGTGCTCCCTTATAGAGCCCTTGTCTGAAGCCCTAAATTTGAGACTACCGGAAAAGAACCCCTGCTACAGCAGCGGGCGCGCCTCCTGCGCACGACTCCTTTTGTTCTCGGACCAAACGCCTTCGATGCCGGCCACCTGTCAACGAGCGAGCTCTGGGATGCCTAGTGTGGGCCCTTTGCAGTAAACAACAAAAGAACTCATTCACGATACAGCATACTGCAATGACGATAGGGACTGTCGATGCAATAATTCCCACAGGGCTTCACACTGGTCTTCTCCCGTTCTCGAAAACTCTTGCTGGCTCGGCCCCCCGTCTCGATTATCGAGATGGGTATCGTCAGCTTCTGCAAAATCATACTCCACCAGATCTTAGGGTCTTGTGGTTTTGTGAGAACATCTCCGAGCTGAAGTTCGCTCGGTATCCATGCCAGGGGCAGGCGCTCAGTCCATCTTTCGAGCCGGAGAGCCTGCCTCAGCGCCGCCAGGTCAATGGCAAGGCGGCGGTCGCTAGGTGTCCTTGGTACCCCTTCTCGGTGAAGGTGGTCGTAGAGCGAGCGACAATCGCTCAGGCAGACCATTGGCAGGGTCGCGTCTTCGACCCTCCTAAGCTCCCCGAAAGTGAGAGCTTCGTAGACTGCTCGCACATATTGTCCGCCTTCTAGGCCTTCTACGCAGGCCTGTGTCTCAGCACTGAACGTGCTTCTACACACCCTCTGTCCTGCCTTCGACTTCCAGTCAAGGATTGAGCCCCAATGACTTCCTCCAGCGATCGCCGACTTCTCGGTGACGACGATGAGCTCCCCGAGCTGGGATGCTACTCTTGAGTTCCCGCGCTTAGCTTTACGGCCTTCGCGATGTGAGGGAGGTCCTTCATGTTGGAGTCCGCTGGCCTTGTCCTCGTCGTAGAGCTCGAAACCCTCTTCGTCGAACTCCCCCTCATAGGCGTTCGCCCATGCGGCGTCGTGGTAGACCAGGATCACCGCCTCCTCATCGTTGACCTTGCGGAAGGTCAGTCCTTGGTCGCGGTGATCCATAGCCTTGACTGAGATGCCGTTGGTGAACTTGACGTCGCCGTAGGTAGGGCATTTCTGTAGTTGCTGTGCCATCGACACGGAACATGTCAAGTCCGGCCGGGATTGAGCCGAGACCCAGCTCAATGCTCCCACCAAACTCCGGTTGTCCGCGATGTGGTCGGGACTGGCGAGATCTTGCTCGTTGGCATTCGCGGGAATGTCGACGACGAAGAGCCTGTTCTCGATGTAGGGCTTCTGCCGGAAGACCACAGTGTCGTCCTTGCAGATGATCTCCGAGCCGAGGTAGGCGAACTCATCGTTTTCCCACGTGTCAACGGGAAAGGTCTTAGACAGCTCTGCCTTGATCGCGTCACCGATGGTGGCGGGGGCAATGACCAATAGGTCGTCGACATGACTCCCGACGTATCCGACGGGCGGTCCTTCCATCTTTCCGTTGACGACTTTCCTCAGTAGGAACACACACGGGTCAAGCGGGCACTGGTCGAAGATGTACTCGGCCTCGTTGAGCTGGATGGTGATCCCCTTGATCCCGTTCTGTAGGTCCAACCACCACTCATGTGGACTCGTGGCCAGACTGAAGATGTTTTTCTTCACCCTCACCAGTTGGTCTGGGTGAAGTCCGGCGAACCCTGTGCTGGGTTGGTGCAAGAACAACTCCTCTTCGCGCCTGAGGTACCCGCCGGTGAGGAACGCACATCTTATGTCGCCTGCACTTGCTCTCCACGGGTCATCATCACGAAGCCCGTTGGCGAGTCGTTGAAGGAGACACATGAGGGCTGGTCGCGACAAAGTGGGGGCATCTGTAGATAACCCATCACCCAAGTCTGGATCTGTGTGCCCAGCTATGACCAACCGCGCTTTGCATTTCCAAGGGGTACTCTCATCGGCCCTCCGAAGGGACCAATTCTTGTCTTTGTAGGCCCACCTCGACCGTAGTATCCGACTTGCGTCGACCTCCTTCTTCACGCGGTTGCTGTCATCGATGCTGAGAGCTTCAAGTGCATCGAAGGATAGGTGCTCATTCCATTGCGTCTCCTCAGCCTGCTTGAACTGGGAGCGTGCACTGGCTGGAATTTCTGACCATTTCAACTCCTTCTCTTGGCGCTTCTCAACGCCCCGCTTGGTCAGCTCCTTCTTGAAGAAGAGGGCCTCATTCACGTCGTCAAGGTCGGGGATGATGTCGTCGGGCCTCGTCTTTCGCTTCAGTCTCCGTGGGGGTGCTCCTTGAACTGGCGGCGGTTCTTCCGGCGGCTCCCCGGGGTCGCTGGGCGAGTAGTCGGACAGGTGGTCGTCTGCGATGGCCACGTCGTCCGCGAAGAGCATCTCCTCATCCTCGCCGACCAGGTGCTCATCATAGGCCTCGTCTGCATCGAGGTCGGCTCCAAGCAGCTTCTCCACTTCGGCCTGTGCCCCTTTGATCCGCAGGAACTCACCGACCTCTTCGGGCCCGGAGGGGCGCAGGTGTTCGGCAGCGGTGAGTCGGCAGCGTCCATTTCGAGATACCCAATAGTTGTTGCCTTCTCTCCCGACAATCACCGCTGGTCCGGCCCATCGGCCGCGTCGTCGGTTCTTGGGTTGGTCCCAGAAGTGCACCGTCTCGCCAACTTCTAAAGGCCTCGTTGTAGTCCGAGCCCTCTGGAGCAGCGCTTTGCGAAGGCGACTATCTCCTTGTGAATGATGAAAAGCCACACGCGCTGCGGTACGTATGGCCGCGGCCCTCTGGTACTGGCTCTCCGGGGTGACGTCCCAAGTGATCCTTTCACCTCCATCGGGGTCAGCGAGTGCTTCGGGTAGACGAGGATGTCGCCCGAAAACCCATTCAGTGGGGCTGTGACCACATCGCCTGCGAAGTTCGTTCTTGGCACTGGACACGAGCGAGGCGGCGAGATGGACTTCTTCTCGTGTGATAGTAAGTTCATGACGTACTCTGTCCCATATGTTCTTCCACCATGCCCCTTGACGCTCTGTAATCCCAGCCTGCCAATGCGCCTGCGCAGCCACATTCTTCACACCCACATTGTGCCAGTCACAAAGACGACAAATTCCCTTTTGTACTGCTCCATCGAGGTCTAAGGATACGGTCCTGGGGGGACCGAAAGGAACCACCCAATGATCATTAAAGGCCTTTTCGATGTCCTCGCTGTCAAAGCCTTCCAAGGGCACCACGACGTGGTAGGACGTTCCCCAGTCCACGATGGAGAGGAAGGTGTGGCGCTCGTCATCGATATCGTGGTGGTGGAGCAGGTCAGCGCCGACACAGTCGTTGAAGTCGTACATCCTCGGCACCGTACTTGGTCGGGCAATGCGGGGCCCGGCCGTAGCCGCACAGACCTCGCACTTCATCGCCTTCGCCGCCTTGATGATTGCATCTTCGCAACCGGCGAGGCGCAAATGCCGCACTAGGTCTTCGCTCCTGGGGTGACCGAGGTTCTGATGAAGGCGACGTAAAGAACTCTGGACTATAGGGTCGACTCCATCGCTGAACGTAATACCGCTACCATCAAGTTTGGGGTTCGGTCTTTGTCCGTCTCCGTCTTCAACACCAACCACGAACACTTGATGAGGGCGAAGGGACTGCTTGAACTGCTGTTGTCCTTGTTTGGGCTTACTGAAGCACGCCCATTTCTCGCCATAGTCGTCCTCGTGACTCCACACCAGGTAGTCGGCCATCTCGTCAAGGAAGAAGTTGCTCCCGCTTCCTCGGAAAACGACGTCTCCTCCTCCATCAACTTGTACCTTGGCAAGCTCCAGGACATCACTACGCCGCTCGGGCGCCATGCCGTCCAAGTTCACCCTCAGCTCCTTCGGGGTGATGCCGTAGACGAAGTGGTAGGCGTCCTCCCTCCGCTCCGGGTCATTGAAATCCTCCCAGGTCATGGGCTCGATGACGGCCTTGTTCAGCTCGACGGCCTCGTAGGTGGCGTCAATCCCGCCAATCTCGAACATCACCACCGGGTCGTGTTGGACCGACGGCAGATAGTCATCCATATAGCTACCGACGGCAAGCAACAGGGTGGTCATCATCACGCTGAGCTTTCCGGCGGTGTTGGCGATGGAGGTTCGCACACTTTTGCGCGGCCGCTTGGTAGAGGGCGAAGCTTGCACACCACGAAGATTAGGAAGTGGGAACCCAACTCTCTTCAGGGTGTTGCAGCATTCCTTGGCGGCCTTCAGCACTCCTCTTGTAGTGTGGTACGTGAGTGACCAGCGCTCTCCCTCCCAATCGCATGTAGCGTGGTTGTAATGGGGGTCGAAAGTCACCATCCTCTCGAAGGTGTTCACAAAGCGCCCGGGCAGCCAAGCGCCACCAGCGCCTCGTCTCCACACGAGGCCGGTCATCTTGGCATCGCCTTCCTGGACATCTTTGTCTTCCAGCCAGACATTCCCACCGGCAGTTTGTCCGAAGCTACAGGTGTGGTTGGCGGTGCCCTTCAGGTTGTTGTAGTCACGATGCATGCCGGCACTCACGTTTTTGCTAACGGAAAGAGATGTCCACGTGCCCCCTTTGCCAATCTTGTCATTCCCAAACTGGTTGAGGTATCTGCAAAGGTGGGGTCGCTCGAGCGTCAACTTCGTGACGCCTTGCACTCCTCCATGGGTGAACATGCCGAAGGTGAAGTAGGAGTGGGTCTTCTCGTCTTGGTTGTCGTTCTGGAAAGGTTCGCCTCGATCATTGCGCCTCGGCTTTAGATCGGCCTTTTCTAGCACGTCTTGCAGGGTCTTGTAGGAGAAGTCACCTCTGTCATACATCGCCTTCGCCAACCGTTCTCCAGGACAAAGGTCGGCCCTGTCATCTGCTCGGGGCCCAGGAGACACGCTTAGAACATCGTGCTGGCTGCGGTGTGCCTGGGCGAGGTCCGTGTCCACGATCACGTCGTCAACCTCGAGGGCGCCCTCGCAACATCCGTGGCGGCGGCATTGGGCCGCCCATGAGCGGCTCACTGTTCCCGCCCACGAGGTCTGGCCTTGTCCTTCAACAGGGCCAGACGTAGTTCCAGCTTCTTGATCTCCTCGGCGGTCTCCTCGTCGATCTCGTCGTCCATGCCGCTCGGGTTCTCGTCCGCCGTCCTCCTCTTGGTGTTCGCGGTCGTCCCCGCCCCCGGGGTGATTGGCATCTGGGTGCTGCTCCGCGAGTCCGTGGTCGGCTTTGCTGGCCACGACGTCTCCCACACGTGTTGCGACACCGTCTCCCACGAGGTCGTGGTTCCCGGGTCGCTCGCTGCGGGCATTGGCCGCCTGCTCATCTCGTCGGAAACGCCCTTCATGTAGCCGCGCTTCTTGTCCTCGTTGGCCTCCCACCAGCGGGCGAACCTCACCAGGTCGGGGTCCGCGTTCGCAGACGATCTCACCTCGTTGCTCGCCCACTGCCCGTATTGCCACGGGACTTCTCTGAACTCCATGCCGCGGTGTTTGCCGATCTTCATCAGCTCGTTGTCCGGGGTGTTCAAGGAGTCCCTGACCAAGCGCAGCAGATTCCCTTTGGTGACCCGACTCGGGAACTCGACGTGGAGTTCCTCCGCCTTCTGCTTGAGCTCGTCGAGGGTCAGCTGGGAAAGCCTCTTCATCTTCTCCGTGGCGTCGCTCTGTTTCCGATTCTCGCGGTCCTCCATGATGACTGCCTTGATCTCCTCCGGGGACCAGGATCTGTGCACTGTCAGTCCCAGTCTCACGCACTCCGACAACAGCTGTGGTTTGGTCATCTTGCTGATCGGCAGGTCGACCTGGCATGACGGCGCGTCCATCGGGCGCTCGAGGAAAGGTTGCGGAGGGCGGGGGTCTCTTGCTCAACACGGTTCTTCCGATCCACAAAAGCGGCATAGAGGAAGTACGCGGCGCATCGTCTTTCCACACATCGACAACAGTCTCAAGCCATCTTTCAGAACTGCAACAGACGGCCTCAGTGCACCTGAAATCGCCAAGCGTAGACAACATCATCCCTTTAAGCACCGTAGACGAGGTATGCCACAAAGCCGGACTAAACAAAGATCTCCTCGGGGTAACATGAACTCTGATCCATGAGTCTTCTGTTTCAACCCAGAAATCTCCTCCGACCTCGCACTGCTTCCACCATGTCATAAAACTCTCTCTGCAAAGCGGGTTTTGGGTGAGCATATTCTTAGTTTCAGGGGGGAGTTTCTTCTCATAGTAGAGGTTGTAGTAGGGCTGAGAGCTACGACCAGCGAAGGCAACAGCATGCACCGTGTATTGCGCACGAGGCTCCAAGCTCACGTCCTCAACAGATAGAACAGCTTGCGTCCCACCGGCCGGCTTTGCAGGCACGATGGGAATCGCCGGGTGCCCTGACGTCGTGCTCAGCAGCTTGTACCCCTTGAGCCCCACCTGAGTAAAGTCAGCGCAGCCAACAGACACATCGTAAATCATCCCAAGCTTTCCCAGAGCCGTCTTGGAGAGAAGCAGCGGGATGTCCCCCGGTATGATTGAGGCACGCAAACGGACCGTCTTGTCACCGAGGTTGAAGGAGAGGACCACGCTGAACGAAGAGTAGTGGATGCGACCAGTGCCGAACTTATAAGCTTCACACTCTCTAGAAAGCTCGGGTTGCCCACCGTCCTCGCCGACGCGGTCCATGTAGTCCTGCAGCCACTGTGTGCCCGCGACTGTACGCGAGCAGGCGGTGTCCGTGATGCCCAACAGGTTCCCGCTGATGTGCTTCATCGTCATCACTTCCGCGGGCATGGCGAAGCAGACCTCCTTGGCTGCCGTAGCTGTCCTTGTAACATGTCCGCTCTTGCCGCCATTGTTGGGACATTCATCGTCTTTGTGCCAATGGCCTTTGCGGCCACATCCTGAGCAGAACGATCTCGCTTTGATTTGCTTCAGCCGCTCCTCGCGGACCCTGGCAGCACCTTGGCCAGGATCGCCATTCTTGGCCCCCGCATTGGCGGCATCCCCTGCGCCATCGGCCTTGTATCCGCGGGCCTTCGCGTGCTCGCGGTACTTGTTCTTCGCCGACTGGTAAGTCATGAACGCTACGGCCACCTCTTCCGGCATGGGGTCATCGTCATCCTCGAAGTCGTCGGGATTTCCTTCAGCTCCTGCATCTTCGTCTTCATCGCCAGCATCGGTCATGTGGGCGGTGTAGGGTCTCCGCCCGCCTTTTCCTGTACCAGACTCCCAAGGCTTGCGGTGGCCGCGATCCTGAATGATAGCGGCCTTCTGGAGCCTGTTCAGACTGTAGGTATTCCCCACGCTGGCAAGCAGGTTGAGCTCCGCCCCTTCTTCTAATTGGAGCCTGTCCACGTAAAGCCATGCAGCGCACTCCTCGGGCAAGACGCAACCGACTTCCTTCAGACGAGCGTGTAGACGATCGTACTCTGCATTGTAGTCACGTATCGATTGCCCGGGTTTACGACGTAGGCGACGGAACATTTCTGAGAGAGCCTTGCCTATCCTCGTGACCTCCAAGTCCAAGTAACGGTTGCGCAGCCAACTCATCAAGTAGTGCACCCCGTCATCTCGGCTCAAGGCGTCGACATTGAGCTCCTCGGCCGCGACCCAAGCTTTTCCTGCGAGGTGGCGGTAGAGAACTAGCCCTTGTTGATTAGCGGGGAGGTAAGTAAGACGCCGCCAAGCCTCGACTTGTCTCAAGTAGGATCTCGCTGAGGTGCCCACATCGTCATCGTCGCCACCATTGAAGACTGGAACGGAGAGTTTCTCCGAAGGCCTTTGATTCGCCGTCTTGTGGCTGCCATTGCTTTGAAGATCGCCAGGATGATCCATTCCACACAGAGTCCTCTGAACGCACGTTGCCAGCAAGATCCCAAGTCCGGCAAACTTGCGGAGAATCGTGCCAGGCGGGAGCACGGTCTCGACCATCCGCCCAGGGATCTCGCCACACTCCATCATAATCGACTCGCTCAGCTCGAAACCCTCGGCCATGATGGAATCCATGATCCCCGCCAGGACCATCCGCTTCGTCTCCTCGAAACCACGGGTTTCCAGGTCGCGTTGAGGCATCCGTGCTGTAGTCTTCCCGGCTCGTAGCCCAGCTCGCTCGCCGGTCTTGCTCGCCTTCGCGCCGGGGTCTATCCCACGACCAGCCCCAGCCGGCCGCGGTGTCCCACCACGAAGCCCCTTGAGAGTGGTTGCTCCACCCCCATTCATCTTGAACGCTATCGTGTCGCTCACTTCCTTCGGACACGTGTTCGGAGGGAACAGGTTCTTCATCACCACGAACTGCGGGCGGAGGATCGCCCGGAACTTCAGCACCACTCGACATTGCCACAGCAAAGACTACGGACGACTAGGAGCGCACTAGGCTCCGCTACCAATTTGAGACTACCGGAAAAGAACCCCTGCTACAGCAGCGGGCGCGCCTCCTGCGCACGACTCCTTTTGTTCTCGGACCAAACGCCTTCGATGCCGGCCACCTGTCAACGAGCGAGCTCTGGGATGCCTAGTGTGGGCCCTTTGCAGTAAACAACAAAAGAACTCATTCACGATACAGCATACTGCAATGACGATAGGGACTGTCGATGCAATAATTCCCACAGGGCTTCACACTAAACCCTTAGCCCCAAACCCGAAGACTAAAAGGAGCTCTTGCAGAAGGAGCGGTAGTTATAAGTCGGGTTATAACTCCCCTAATATGGGTTATAGCTATAGTTATCTTACTTATAACCCCACTTATAACTACCCATGAACCTCCAAGTAAACTCCCTGTAGACTTGGTTCAAAGGGCCCACCAACATTAAACCTAAGGCAGGTCGGATGATCCCTGAAAGGAGCCGTGGGATCCCTATGAAGCTCTTTCGTTTGGAGGGCTTAGGGGGTTTAGGGTTTAGGGTTCAGGGTTTGGGGTTTAGGGTTTAGGGATACTTGGATAGCCAATGGTCTTTGGTCTATCTCAGAAATGTTGTAGTTTGTTTTTCGGCCCGGCTATGGAAGAACGGAGTATAGGGTTTAGGGTCGGCTCCCATAAAGGTTTTGCGAGTTTCGACTTAGGGTGATATAGGGTTACTCAGATTATGCCTTCGGGTTCCTCATGTTATATATATATATATATGTATATGTATGTATACGTATACATATATATATATATATACGACTTGCAGCAAAGGCCTACTCTAAATTATTAAGGCCCCTCCCCTGGAAGGAGGCGGTAGAGCTTGTGCGGGACCTCAAGCAGATGTTGGCCCGGCGCCGGTAATCAAAGAGCCTCGCGTTCCTATATGCTGCCGTAAGTGTTCATGTGCCTGATAATTATATCTGCTGGAAAGTACAAGCCTGCATTATTGCAGTTTTCGGGGTAGATCGCAGCGCCAGTGCTTGCCGCAAGGCTTCAGTTCGCAACCACACCTAGTTGAAGCAATTCCAAGAACCTAAAGTCAAGGACTATTTTGCAGCAAGAGCTAAGGCTTTTATGGTCTAGGGTAGTATACTGTAGGTGTATTCTTCAGAGCAGAACCCTAAACCCTAAATCCTAAACCCTCAAGGCTTGGTAGAGCCCTTAGCCACTGGGAAGGATGAGGAGACTGAAGCAATGTAGGGGCCTTAATAATTTGAATAGGGGTTTTGGGATATATGATAGTAGAATTACAATAAGGAATCACCAGAATAGTATTGGTAATTATTTCGGCTTCTATATTGAGTTTTCGGTGGTTTTGAGGTTTACTACGGTTGATGGACAAAATCCTGCATGACCTTATATACCTAAACTATGGGATTTATGGTACTCTACTATATTTGGGTCATGCAGAATTTTGTCCATCAACAGTATTTAGGTTTGGGGTTTAGGGTTCAGGGCTTCAGGGCCGTAGGGTTCAAGGTTCTTGGTTGAAAGTAAGGTGTTGCCTTTGATAAACCCTCGTCGGGTGGCAGCGGCTCCAGTTTGTACTGAATCCTGGATCATTTCTCATACTACCTGTTCCTCAACCCCCAAAACCCCTAAACCCTAAACCCTATTCCAATTGCTGATGACCCTACACCAACCCCTGTGAAGCGCTGCGCGACCCGGTAGAAACCTTACCCACCACCTATTCTAATTGCGAAGGCTCCTCCCTAAACCTCAAACCCCTAAACCCAACCCTAAAGCCCTAAACCCTAAACCCAACCCTAAAGCCCTAAACCCTAAAGCCTCTACACCCGACCGATACCGCACGGGCCCCTAATGCTTGGAACAGGGTTCCTGTAAAGGGTCCCTTGACGGGTTCTATGAGGGATTCAGGGTTTAGGGCTTAGGGGTTTAGGGTTAGGGCTTAGGGTTCAGGGGTTTAGAGTTGGGTTTGGGGTTTAGTGTTTGTATAGGGTTTGATATAGGGGCTTTGGCAGGGGGGATACTGCTGTCGATTATTCATTCCAAACCCTTCCATATATATATATATATACATACATACATATATAATGAATATCCGGGACCGCGGGTTTTACCTAGGTGTTTGGATTCTTTTGTTTGGCGTGCGTTGCAGTCCGGTTCTGGAATCAGCTGCAGAGATTGGGTTTATGTCAGGGCGGTGGTGAGTGTACCTACGGCTCCTGAGCAATCCTGGCGAGCGCACGTTTGAGATGCTAATGGGGGGTAGGTATACATGGGCTTATGCGTAACGCAGGCATAATTACTGAACTTGTTGCCGTGTAGTCGTAAGTCCGTCTCAGCCTTCCAGCATAGTTACCCTCGGCACTCGCTTCATGCATATCCATTCAGGATCGGCGGAGTTGTGTAATCTGAAGTTGCCGAAAGCTGAGTGGTGAGGTGTGTCAGCGGTGCTTGGGCCCTAATTAAACCCTAAACCCTAAACTCTAGACTCTAAAACCTAAACCTTAAACCCTAAGCCCGAACCGCTGACGGTTTTGCGTTGGGGTCTTCAGTTTCGGGCCAGCATCCTTGAGGGTTCTTTGGAGCTGGGGGGACGCCGTGGCTCAAGGCAGGGGAAACAGAAAGCCATGAGCCCCATTACCCTGGGTTTAGGGTTTAGGGTTTAGAAGCCGAATCTATGTTCTTTGGCAAGGGCATATGTTTCTAGGAGGGAATTGTGCGTGATACTTAGTAGTAGAGTAGGTAACCTTTAACCTTTTTGGTACTATATTTCCTATATCATCCCCAAAAACTAGCCTTTACCACCTGAAAATACTGGAGAAGTAGGTATAGGGTCCCCAGTCCTGAATGAAACCTTGGCCCTCGCACCTCGAAGCCAAAACCGAATCCTTGTTTCCCAAGTCCGAAACTCTCATTCTACAGGCCCCCTAGACCCTAAACCCTGAACCCTAAGCCTTCAACCCTAAACCCTAAGCCCTCAACCCTAAACCCTAAACCCTAAGCCCTCTAAACACTAATCCCTAAACCCCAACCTTTAAATGACAGGCCTAGGCCCCGCAGGCCTAAGCCCGAGATCCATGATGCCCTTAAGGTTTTGCAGTGGAGCTCCGTCCAAATCTAGAGGTCCAAAACTAAAGAAAGCCCTACACCCTAAACCCTGAACTATAAACCCCTAAACCCTATAAGCCCTATACACCCGTAAACCCCTAAACCCTAAAAATCCAAAACCCTAAACCCTATACACCTAAACCCCTAAATCCTCAAAATCCTAAACCCCTAAAACCCTAAACCCCTAATTTCCTAATTCCCTTGTAGAGACTCGACTCCGACTGGACCTCTCCCTGACTCTTCGATGCAACGATGCCTCGCTGCTTCCTTGTCGTGCGTGGCACCCAGGGGTTTAGGGATATCGGGGTTTAGGGTATAGGGGTTTAGGGGTTTAGGGTTTAGGGGTTTAGGGGTTTAGGGTTTAGGGGTTTAGGGGTCAGGGTTTTAGGGCTTAGGGTTTAAGACTGAGGCCCTAAAACTAAAATATATAGGGGCCTGAATAAAGAGATTAGGGCTTGGGGGTATTTTCTACTGTACTTAGAAGAAAGAGCCCCCGAAACCCTACTCTAATTCTTAAGGCCCCGACTCTAAGCCCGCAACTTTGAACTTTAAGCCTTAAGTTTAGGGTTTAGGGTTTAGGGTTTAGGGTTTAGGGTTTAGGGTTTAGGGTTTAGGGTTTAGGGTTTACATCCTAAACCCTAATGCCTAAACTCTAAAGTTTGAGCCCTAAGCCCTTAAACTACTAAGCCGCTGACCTCCCAATACAGCCCTGTTGGGACTTGGGCGAAATTCGGTGTCGGCCGGACACCCCAGAAAGCCCATAGAATGCCCACGGGAAGAGTGCTAGAGTTTAGGTGAGGACCCCAATCGGAGAACTACCCATGTGCACTTGGAGGTTCATGGGTAGTTATAAGTGGGGTAAAAAGTCCCGTAATATGAGTTATAACTATAGTTGCCTTACTCATAACCCCACTTCTAACTACCCATGAACCTCCTTGTAGGCCCAGTAGCCCTGAACCCTAAACCCTAAACCCTAAACTCCTAAACCCTATACCCTAAACCCATCGGTTAGAGCTTCAGGAGCGGTCGGGGCTCTGGGTGCAGAGCCGGCTTGCGGAGGGATCCGTCTCACAGGGCTTCGGGTTTAAGTTTAGGGTTTAGGGTTTAGGGTTTAGGGTAGAAGACTGTACGGGGTTTAAGAGTTAAGTGTGTTCAGGGGTTCGGGTTTAAGTTTTCGACATCTGTAGAACGCTTCTAGAAGACTGTACGGGGTTTAAAGAGTTAAGTGTGTTTTGGATTTAGGCATTTGGCCTTTGGGCTGAGGAGTTCTGGGCTCATCGGTTCAAAGTCTCTGGGTTTAGGGTTGAGGGTTGAGGGTTCCCCAAAATAGTGCGGCACCCTTATAAAAAGGACCCTCAAAAGGGGCCCTAATTTAGAGAACTACACGCATCAATTTGCCTGTTCAAGGAGGTTTGAAGAGCTCAAACCCTAAACCCTAAACCCTAAAACCCTACAACCTAAACTTAAACCCTACACCCTAAAACCCTAAAGCCTACACCCTAAGCCCTAAAACCCTTATAAGCCCTAAAACCCTAAAGCCGTAAACGCTAAAACCCTAAAGACCCTTATGCACGCTAAAACCCTAAAGCCCTAAAGCCCTAAACCCTCGACCCTAGAACCCTAAAATCCCTTATGAAACCCTAAAACCCTAAAGCCTAAAGCTCAAAACCCCAAGAAACCCCTTATAAACCCTAAAGCTCTAAAAGCTCTTATGGACCTTAAAACCCTAAAACCTAAACTCTAA